CCTTGTCTTACCTACATAAAACATAAGGGCCACTGCTTAATGAGGATTACATATACCACCTTGGAAGATAAACAAGAAGTTGAGTCCCTCTTATTGTCATTGCTGAGATACAGTTGGTGCAGCTGGAGTAGATATGGAGGTACATAATTGGCATCCAGGTTCTTGCCCCTAATTCTGCTTGAGTCCCTCTTATTGTGAATGTCATTGCTGAGATACAGTTGGTGCGGCTGGAGTAGATGTGGAGGTACATAGTTGGCATCCAGGTTCTTGCCCCTAATTCTGTGTCCATGTTGCATGGCCTGTTGTGTGTCAGTAGTTGTTTAAGGTTGGGGGAAGGTTGCTCATCCATGGTGATGCCTGCCACCCAGAGACGGAAGTATTATTGCCCAGAATGAGCTGTTGCTTTTTTATTATTATTATGTGTGAGTGATCTGAGCTGGGAGAATAAATTGCTCCAGTCTTGGTCTTTGCTCCAGTCTATCTGGCTGCGGAGCCAGTGGGGGGTTTGGGGTTTTTTTTCTGGCAGCAGTAACAGAAAATACATGGCTAGCTCTTTATCTGAAATTATCTCTACTAATTCAGTTGTATAAGAAAAAGACCAATAGAAGATTTCAGGGAATCTGTCCAAGATTCTTACTAGGGAAATTCTCATTATTATTATTTTTTATGAGAATTATTTTATTAGCTGGCTGGATAGCTCAGTAATTTAGGTATCTGGCTGCGGAGCCAGAGGTTGGGAGTTTGATCCCCAACTATGCCTCCTGGGAGTAAAGCCAGTCTGTGTGGTCATGGGTATATTACCTAGTCGCATGTTGCCCCCAGAAAAAGGGAATGGTAGATCACTTCTGAGTATTCTAGAAAACCCTGGAAAGGGTTGCCTTAAGTTAGAATTGACTTGACAGCACATAATTTTTATTATTGTTTTATTAGACAGCAATTATATCATCATTTTGTGCAGTATAGTTTAGGGTTCAGAAACTTCTGAACCTTTCCTAATAATATTGAACTCCAATTCCCATCAGTCATAGCTAGGCTGGCCAGCGGTTAGGGATAATGGTAGTTTACTGGCACATAGAGGGTTACATGTTCCCTACCCCCAGCACATCTTGTGGCCATACTGTCCTAAATAATGCCCACTCCTACTTGCTGTTGTTGTTTGTCAGTAAGACCATTGCAATAACTTTTCCAGTCGAAGGCCCAGTTTTGTCCGCGTCACTAGAACATGAAGCTTGCACTGAAGCACAAGTTTATTACAGTCATGTCTTACATTTTAAGGTATGCACTTAAAATGCCATAGGTATGTTCTTTGAAGTATCGTGTACCTCCAAAAAGGAAAAGCAGTGAAATAAATAAATCAGAAGAGTTAAATGGAATTGATTGAAAGGAAGTACTATTCCTACTTCTTCTAAAGAATACCCCTCAGCAATACTGTTTCAATCTCAGGAATCTGGTGAAATGAACTAGTTACCAAGCCAAAATCATCTAAAAGATTATTACTAGGAAAATTATGCTTGGAGTTCATCATTCAGAACCTAAAGGAAGGCAAATGATCTGCTGTGAACATACAGTCTATAATTATAAATACCCTGTGTTTTCCTTGTTCCAGAATGTCAAACTTAAGATTTTATTGAAACCACTGTACGTACGCTATGTACATGCATTCTTTTGGTTTTGAATCAGGCACACGAAATACTTATGCTTTTAACTCATCTGCAGAGTTCACGGGAAAAATTGCTACATGCCTGAGGGAATATGTTCCAATTAAAGTTGATCAGCATTGCCATTCAGGGCAGAAACAGAAATAGGTGGTGACATTTCAGGAGTTGTGTGAGAAAAAACACATCCTAAGAAGGCTGGGAGGGGGAAAAACCATATCCAAGCAATGCAGTTACTTCAAGGCAAGCTCTGTGCCTTTACTACCAGTCAAAGAAGCAGAGAAAGCCTCAGACATATCCTCTGCCCATCAAAGTCAGAGTCAATATTTGAATACTCTCTGTGTCAGCTAGATTGGGTTTGCCACGTTGGAACAATGTTGATTTCCTTAACAATGATAGAAGTAGCAAATAAGTAACAGCTGTGCCTTGATCCTGAAAAAATGTGAAAAAGGTCCTTTTGATAGATTCACAGGTTCCCTGGTAACTAGTATTCAGGGATATACAGTCGTGCCCCACTTTACGATTGCCCCGCATTACGACAAAACCGCAATATGACGTTTTTGCGATTGCTTTTGTGATTGCAAAACGATGGTCTGAATAGGCTTTTTTCACTTTGCGATTATCAGTTCCCTGCTTCGGGAACCGATTCTTCGCAAAACGACGATTTTCCTACAGCTGATTGGCGGTTTCAAAATGGCCGGCGGGTAAATAAAATGGCTCCCCGCTGTTTTCTGGGATGGATTCCTCACAAGACAGCCACCGAAAATGGCTGCCCTATGGAGGATCTTCGCTGGACGGTGAGTTTTTAGCCCATTGGAACACATTAAACGGGTTTTAATGCGTTTCAGTGGGTTTTTTATTTTTGCATTATGATGTTTTCATTCTACAGTGATTTCGCTGGAATGAATTAACATCGTAATGTGAGACACCACTGTACATCTTTTAGTACTAGAGGTAACACAGAGCCACTGTAACCAGTAACAGCCTTTGGTCAGAGATGGGAGATGTTATATTTATTTGGGTTAGAACTGCCAGAATCCTGAAGCAGACACATTGACTATAGAATTCTGGAGAATAAAGTTCCAAAAAGTAACTTTGCCCCGTCTTTGCCTTCAATAGAATGCAAAATACAACATCCTTGCCAATTGCATCTTTAAAATCGAGAGTGTCCAATAGTTTGTGTGCCACAAGACAGAAACTCTCCTGCCTAATAGTGAACCTACAGTGTTCAAAAGGTGTTCTTTCAGATATTTGAGTCCCAAGCCTTTTAACGATAAGTGCCACTTCTCTGAGAAGCACATGGGCAACCAGTTCATTTCAAACCAGTGTGATGTGACTCCACCTGGCTATCAAAATCCTGGTTGCCGCATACCGTAGCAGCTGACGTCTCAGAGATTTTCATATAATGACTTATCTTGAAAGCTCAATCTCATGGCTAGTTCTGTAACACATTGTGATAAATTTATATACATCTAAAAAAATGTGGAATTCAAGCAGAAAAATAGAAGGGAAGGTTTTCAAGCTAGATCTAGAGGTCAGAGGGTGAAAGGTAACTGGCAAGACCTTGATTCTATACATTAGTCTCTAACACAAATACTTCCTGAAGTATAAAATGCTTTGATCTGCCTAGGCATGTACCATATGTGTGCAGCTGTGATCCATGTCTCTTAACCACTGGAAGATTAGTGAAAGGTAGCATATAGTTCTTAGGTCTGCATTCAATTTCTGTTTTTATATTTAGCAGTTCATAATTTTATGTAATACTGTAACAAAATGAAAAATATGCTTAAGAATTGAGTGATAACAGATTTTTTTGTGGTTTGATTCAGTGTTGTTTGGATAGATTCAGAATATTGGGAGCTGTAGGCGGGGGGGGGGAACTATTTTAATTAAGTCTGTATGCACTTCAAAATACCTGAGGCCACGTTAAAAGTTTGGGAGGCTGTCTGAAATACGAGGCTCCATGAAGTTCCTGTAAATTAAATGCTTGTGCAGTTGTGTCACCAAAGGCCTGCCACAAAAGTGCAAGACAAACTGGGAATAACCTTTTTTTATTATTATTATTGCTGCAGAGCAAGGATTTTAGGTGGCTGTATGCCATGTGGCCAATTCTGTTCTCTCAAAGCATTTCCTTGAGGGTGGGGAAAATCAGTTGGTTGCACAGTAAAGAGTAAAACTGGTCTGTTAGTTGTCAGAGCCTTGTTGACAGGCCAAAGCTTAAAGTAATTCATCTTCAGTCCTATCCCTGAATACTTGCACCTGGGATACCAATGTAATAATTTTAGGTGCCTACGTAGCTTAACATTTCAGGAGATTCCCCCAGTGTAGGTGCTGGTATTTCCCATTCTGAGCATTTATATGGGAGGCAGGAAGTTTGACACAGACATGCGGCTAAAAATGGCAATCTAATCCTGAGTTTATGTAAACTGCCATTAAGACTAACTTTACTCGTGTTTTCCCCATGTTTATGTGCCCCACAAGCAGTAGCCAAAGGTGATAGGGCAGAGAAACAGAACAAGTGATAAACTCATAAAGCAGGCTAGGAATTGCACGTGGAGGAGAATTCGGTATGGGCTGCCCATATTTGACATCAGTCTCGTCTTGATCATCACACCTAGTTCCTCCCTTAAGGGAACCTCTGATATTACTCAACTTTTTTCCTACGTAGCCATCCACTCCTGTGTAGCTGTGAGTTGTTTTCTCACAAATCAGGCATCTGTCTGCTTTTGCCAGAACATAATACACCATGATATTAATGCAAGAAGAGACACTTTTCCCCCCAAGTGAAGATGAATCTGCTCTTAGGAAAAAATAATGCATGGCATAGCGATAAAATCAGGCTGGAAGATTCTGACCCTGCAGTGAGATGTATCATTAAGAGTAATTTGGTGGAGCAAACATGAGAACAGTCATACTGATAATGGATTATCTAGCCCAGAATCCCCTCTTTGTCCAAAGGCAAGCTCTGGATGCTTCCAGCAGGACATTTAAAAAGAAGAGATGCTCCTTGCTTCCAAGAGGGGAAGGCAAACAAACAATCTTTATGAGAAATGCTCTGGGCTTTCTGTCTCACAGTCATTCATACACTTATCTACAACTCATCTATTTAGTCCTTTTTAGAACTCGGTTATGCTTTTGGCCACTGTTCTTTTTTTAAACCGGGCTGCTGAGAATCCAGCCTTGAAATCCTAATTCCAGAGATGTAGAACACATAGCTGTTTTCATTCATTACTGGATATGTTTCTGTAGGCATGTTATTTTAAAATAATTTATTTTCAGCATAATGGCTTTGGTTTGGAGCGCATTCTCATTTTTCTTGCATTTTGTTGTTATTTTTTTAACAAGCTTCTGCTGGGTATGGCAGGCTCGACGGATGAAACGCTTCAGGAAGCAGCAGCTGGTTGCATAGCAAACATCCGCAGGCTGGCTCTAGCTACAGAGAAAGCAAAGTATGGCTGAAACTCGACACAGTTTTTACCAAGTCTTAAGAGGTTTTGTTTTTTAATACTGCACCGGACTAGTTCAGAGTGAGCAAATACTGAACTAGAATTCCTTAGAAATTTAAATGTCTTCAAAAACACAGGTGCTATGTACTGGAATATAATGTAACAAAAGAAGAAAGAAAGAAAGAAAAACATATTAAAGTGTATTTTTCCCCTGAATGCATTCATATACTTGGATGGATGTATTTTAAAGTTATTAACATTTACCTGTTCCAAAGTTACAGCAGTGAATATCCTAACATGTTCTCAGCATAACAGCGCAGTCCTTTCATATCTTTTTGAAATACATGTTAGTATGTCTCAGATCCTGTAATAAAGCTATTTTCCATTGCAGTGTGTGGTTGTACTATCATTTCTGGGTGTATTGAGTAACTATCTACCTTCTAAAGCTGTCTAATCATTCTGCCATGATGGTTCTGCTTGTCTAGATATGCCTAACATGTCTCAATGTGCTGTATATTGTATCAACACTGTAACTCTTTGTTGCTAAAGAAATAATGGTTTCTCAAGCAGCAAAGGAAGTCGGCACCCTTGGCGTTGTCCAGCACACCACACAGTGCCGGGCTTTCACTGTCTTCCTGGGCCACCCTGGAGGGAATAGTTTCCTCATCTGTTTTGCATGTGCCCTTATTAAGCTGATGATGTTTTTAACAGCAGTAGGTCTACTACTTGGATTTTCCTCTCAGGCACTGAAATGTGTTGTCCTATCCTCTTTTAAAAATATATTCCAGTTTTCTAAGACTAACCTTTTGATAGTAGGTTTGTTGAAGAAACAGTGCTAAGGCATTCGTCCTCTTTTAAAAATGTATTCCAGTTTTCCAAGACTAACCTTTTGATAGTAGGTTTACCATGTTTGTTGAAGAAACAGTGCTAAGGCATTCAATGTGCATTTGGTATCTTTTCTAATTTGCTTGGGTGATTTCCTCCACCAGTATAAATCAAGATCCACTCTAGTAGATGCCAAAACTGCTAAAATTCTCTTTCTCTGAGATGCTTTGGGAGAAAATGCTTTCAACGTTTATGAAACCATTCTCTAAGGGAAATCTTATAGCACTCCAAGAAGAAAGTTAACTGAGAGGACCTTCCTTTCTTTGAACCGAAGAGGAAACACCAGATTTCACCACAGATGTCTGTCAGCATACAAGAAAACCTTTCTTTTATCATTTCCTGCCTGTATGATTTATAACCTGATGACACATAGTCATTATCAACTAATCAATTGTTCCAGGATGCCCAAATACACACTGAAATGTGAGTATTCTATTCATTTCCACTTAACATTCGACCATATGAAATGATATGTTATGATCCACTTACACAATGTTTTATCTTTCATTATTCTATCATTTGTTAAAGAGAGATCAGATGTATATATTTATCTTTCATTATTCTATCTTTCATTTGTTAAAGAGAGATCAGATGTATATGCAAACAAATCATGTTCACATTTCATCTTTCTCAATCCATTTAGTTCCTGGAATTGTAGTCCTTGAACAGATATTTCCAGCTATGGATTCTTAGCAGTTTTCTTATAGGTTTAAAAGTCCTAATGTGGATGACCTGATCATATTGGGATTATATGTAATAATGACATGGAGTATTACAATTATCGGTGGTTATCACCTGGGTTGTACATCATGTTATCCCACTTCATCATTTTTACCTAATCCAGTTCAAAGTGCTTTTACCAGTACTATACATCAGAGGTCCCCAGCCTCTGGTCTGCGGCCCAGTGCCCATGCATGGCCTGAGCCAAACCGGGCTGCCAAGAGAGACCTCCCGCCCCACCCCCACATGCACTCACCCCCGCAAGGCCGTTTGCGCCTGCATGCATGCTTCAGCACACCTGTGAGTGTCGCACCTCCATTTGCACATGTGCATGCGCACATGCACAAATGGCGACGCTTGTGCAAGAGAGAGAGCATGCCTGTTCGCACATGCGCAGGAGCACTGGGGGTGCCCCAGCGTCCCCAGCCGGTCCGTGGACCGAAAAAGGATGGGGACTGCTGCTATACATAAGATCCGGTGACATGAAAACTCTAATCTGTTGGGTTCAACATGCAGCAGCATATTTGTCCATGTACTGAGATGCCCCTGACCACCACCTTCAAGGTCACCACCACCACCATCTTAGGTAAGGTCGATGGTGACTAAAGTAAGGGCCTTTTCCTCTGCTCTACTTTCAGAATTTCTTCCCCAGGGAAAGGCACCTAGCACCAACATTGTTATCTTTGTGATGCTGAATGAATTTACATAAGTTATTATATTCCTCAAGATTTGAAAATAATGACTAGCCAAATGGTGTTTCTAAATTGCTGCTTTTATTGTTGTCTTACAAGTAACATTCTTATTGCATTGGCTTTTTATTGCCATCTATGTTTTACAAAGTTCCTTGTGGTGTAGAAATCCCAAAAGGAAACAAATAGCTTAGTTCATCATCAAGTAATGCAGTTCCATCTGAATTCATCTCCAGGAAGCCTAATAGATGATTCCTTGCAATCTTCCCCTTGCTCATTCCTATGCCCTGGCCCCTTGACCACAGCACCCCTGTCTACTGCAGATGGTGGCGATGCCGGCTGGAGAATTCTGCCAGTTCTACTCTGACATACCTAGCAACGCTCATCTTGCACTGATTAGGGTGCAGTTTGTCTCTGCCTCTATTGTATGGAAGAATTTAATCCCCTTATGTTTACAATTCCACCAGTATAATCTCATTGATCCTTTAAAAAACGGGCTCAGCTGGCCTGTTCACAGCAATTAAGCTATTTGTCTTCGAAATAACAGAAGAGTAGTAAAGGGTGACATCATGTCACCTCCCTTGCCAACAATGGTGGCAGGGCTGAAATGGCTTCCTCCAGCCCAGCTTGACAATCCACAAGGGGCCGCTTGCCTGATTTCAGAGTTGATTTCTGAAAGCTGTGATCTGAAAGCAAACTGCTCCCGAGCTGAAAGCTGTGGTCTCCTCATCTGTCATTTCTTAAGTTTTCTCTCCCTCCCTCTCTGCTGGATGCAGGGAAAGCAGGAGGGAGGGGGAGAGGGAGAGAGATTGTGTGGCTCAGCCACACTTACACTCAGACAGGCCCACCACCTCTAGGGCTTTGGTGACCTGCCTTTTACCTTTCAGGGGCCAAACCCTAGGCTAGCCTCATTTTGAAAAAAATAAAAGACTTGTGGAATGATGCCAGGGGGAAATTTTTGGCCCAAACCTAGTCGGCTGACGGGAACCATTTCTGTTGTCATTACTGCTGCACTATATAGAATTTCTCACCAAGAAAAAGATAAAGACTTACTCAATTATATTTTACTACTCTGGCTAGGCTATAATGTTCTTCGCCACTCAGCACTTTGCTGTTCTTATCAAGATGCTGAAGCCAGCAAGCTCGCTCTTCTCCTACAGGAATCCCCATTTCTTTTAATAAGAGTCTTGAGGGTCCATTTTGTGTCACCTTCATTGTATAATCCTACCCTGTCTTTCAGCTGATGGATCTGAAAAGATGCCTGTTTTATTGAAGCGGAGGGTGTTGTGGATGGGACAGCTCTATTTTGTGTTAGTATTTGTTCTGGTTTTATTTCTTTGTTCTGTGCCAGACACCCCTTTGCTAGCCAGTTCCTGCTGCTTTTTTTGGCAACTCGGATGTTTTATCCAAATTTACATGGAACACAAGTCACTTGTGTGTTTCTTCTTCTTCCTTTTTTTTCCCCCAAACAAAGACTGTAGTCAGTTATGTTTTAAAACTACAAATCTGCTTATGAAGCCTGCATATTAGAGAGTTCTATATCAGATATCAGGTTGCTTAATGTTGGGCTAAAAATAATAATAATCTTGGAACTGCAAAGCTGGAAGGGACCCGATGGACATCAAGTCCAGCCCCTGTCAAGAAGACACAGTGGGGAAATTGAGCCCCACAGCCATATACCTAAACCGCTGAACTAGCTGTCTTTATGAAGGATTCTTAGCCATTAGAGGAAGCCAAACAAGAGATGTGTGGCAGGGAAAGGAATCCAAGTGTTTATTTTTGAATGGAAGTGTCACCATGAGGTGACAATATCTGTGAGAGAAACTAATCACATAAAATAATCAATTTTTTGTTAGTAAGCAAGCTACTACAGTATAACTTATGGCAATTCTTTTCAGAGTTTCCTAGGTGAGAGTACTCAGAAGTGGTTTACCATCTCCTTATTCTGGGGGCATCCTGGAACAGTGCAGCTTTCCCACATGGGCTGTCTCTTCTGGGACACACACTGGGGAATTGAACTCCCAACCTCTCTAGCTCCACAACCAGACGCTTAACTCTCTGAGCAGTTACTACATTCATAGGCCAAATCAAAAGGAACAAAAAAATGATGCAAGCTTTCAAAACTTCGACATCTCTTCTACAGGCAAGATGTTGCCAAAAAAAAAACAACCCTTAGGAAAAGGTTAAGGGAAGGATTCGATCTTAAAGTCAAGCCACCTGTCATGTTGCCTTAATATAATAGCAAGGAAAAGTCTACAACAGTGCTGATGAGCTATTAAGTTTCCCCTTTAGTGTATTGCAGCTCCTAAGCTGACTGGATAGTTCAGTGATTTAGGTATCTGGCTATGGAGCCAGAGATTGGCAGTTTAATTCCCCACTGTGTCTCCTGGGAGAAAAGCCAAACTGTGTGGCCCCCAGCAAGCTGCACAGTCCCAGGACGCCTTCATAAGAAGAGAATGGTAAGCCACTTTTGAGTATTCGCTACCTGAGAAACTGTGAAAAGGGTCACCAAAGTCAAAACTGACAGCGTGCAATTATTCTTTATTAGTGCCTCCCAGGCTTGCTGGAAAAGAGATTGGTGGAGAAGTCAATAAACTGGCCACTGACCAGGCTGTCTGGGAGATTCTGATTGCCAGCATCCAAAAAAGTTCCTTTTCTGAACATTGATGAAGACTTGCAGCTATTATTGTTTTGCTTTTAATCTTGGGAGGGCATGAGCAGATTTTCAGTGTATAAAGAAGTACATGAGAGGAATAACCATCTTTCACCAATACTGTGGAATCACTTGGCAAATAAACATTTGTCACCCTTTTGCTTGTCCCCACTTAAGTACGGAAGAAGCGCTATCTGTGCTCCAAATCCTCATATTTTCCAATCCTTCCAAAGCTGAAGTTTCAAAAACATAAATGCAAGTAATGATGGGGTTACTTGAACTTCCCAGTGTATGAAATGATAACACTGGCTTGAGAGTTTAATTCCAAGAGAAAATAAATAGTCACAAATGGGTTATATTAGAAAAAAAGATTTGCTTTAATTAAGATGTAGGAATTCTACCAAGTTAACAGATTGTATCTACAGGGTCAATCCAT